CTATTCTATTCTATTCTATTCTATTCTATTCTATTCTATTCTATTCTCACAAGGCCTTCCTGGCTTAACGTAACGTTTGGGTGTCAATTTCTCCCTGACATGAAGGCAGCCACTCTAGACTGCAATCTTATTGTTGACCTCCCCTTTCTGTTTCTCTGTGGTTTGAGATGTCCTGTTGCCTTTTGTACCCTTCTGCCATTGGGGTAATGTGCTGATGCCATAGCAAGGTTTGTAGTCGGATGTCACAAAATGGCATTGATATCCAAGCATAACACTAATGAATCAAAACAGAAAAGAATCTGTCATGGTCCTTGAGTTAATATTACTCACTCTTTCCTCTGAATATGGTATTCCTGCTGCTGTCCTTACTTACTGGGATTAGAAAAGGAAACTTCTGCCATCTTACCTCAGAAGTCTCCATTTATTTTTAATCACTGTTCATATGTCTCTTCCAAAAATTGGCCCCTTATTATCGCTGGCATCAGCCCACATTGGCAAACACAACCATCAGCCAATCAGTCCAATGGTTAAGTAAGAATAAACATCCAAAAACCAGTATTCTGAATTATAAGCATTTGTCTTATGTTATGTTGCTAAGAACAATACTTACTTTTAAAGGATTTATAACAATTGACAAAGTTGTAATAGTCAGAGATGAATTCAGTTTTAAGGAAAAATAAGTTAACATTTACATAGAACTTTCTGATGGAGAACAATAAAGACTATAGGTGGACCGAAAATGTCTTCCCATTGCAAGTTAGACCTTAACAGTATTTCTCTTATGTTTGAGCTTTTAATAGCTCACAAATTAGAATACTTACTTCTGAAATTTAAATACAAAGAGTAAATGATGCTTTTATCTCCTTTATCTCCTTTAAAACCCTATAAAAATTACAAAACTTTTACTTGAAGCTACCTTTTAACAGTGAGCTTTCATATGCCAGGCTTAGTATAATAGCTGAGATTTGTTATAATTCAAAAATTCTTCTAAAAATGATTTAAGGGAATGCTGAAAATAAAGATATTCCCAGAACTTTTACTCACATCCCAGTGGACTGGAAGAGGGCAATGACCAGCGCTTCTTCACAGTTACAGAAGCTTGGTAGCGGCTTACCTGATAGAGACAGACCTTGTGGGAAGACATGAGTTAGCATGGAAGAGGTGGCTTATCATTGTACAGTCTTGGGCATAAAACGAGACAGAGAATTCCAGAAAAGATACAAGAATAGAACTTGCTCACTTTAAAAAAAAAAAAAAACAACTGGACAGGACTAGCAGTTACAAGTATTAGAGAATTTCAATGGATGGATGGAGAGGGGAACAAGAATAGTTATTTCCTAAATGATACAAATTTACAAGGGTTTGCTTGCTTCCTTTGTTTTGGTTTTGTCAAGTTGTATCCTTACTTCACATTGGAAACTTTCTTGGGATGTGTCTGTTACCGATTAATGTCTAACGACAGGATCACACCATGTTTATCAACAGATGACACTCACTATAGAACAATCAGGACTAGAGTCAGCTGCTTTGGGTGAAAGACCTACATAGCAAGATATGAAAATGTCTTCCTAGGTAGCATTAATTTTCTTCACAAAGGAATTGTTCTTTTTGTTTGAGAGGAAAATATTTGATAGATAAGAGGAGAGTGGAGGAGGATGGAGGCACCTACCATTCACGGCAGGAACTGTGGAATCTGTGCATGATCAATGCAGTATCATCCATCTTCTTAGGACCTACCTACTTAATGATCCCCCACCCGATATTGTTTATAAACAAGTCTTATTTTATCTACCTTTGGTAAGGAGCAGGATATTCAGATAGGTTATGTGGAACCAAAAGAAATGCACAGAGTTTTTTTTTTCAATACCTGTACTGCATTTATAGAGAGGTCATAACTCCTTATTTATTGTCTCCTCATGATTCTTTCCCACTATGTCCAGAATAAGACAGAAATGGTTGCTACTCAACAGAGCAGAATCTAATAAAAGGAGGAGGAATCAGTAAAGGTCACACATTTTGAACAGCAATTATATAGAGAAATACAAAGTAAATATTGAAGACTTTTGACATGGATACAATAAAATATATCCAACAATATAAGTTACTTAATATTAATAGTTCACTGTCATAATTTTATGAAGCA